GAGAAAAATAAGACGTGAACTTGTGTGCAAAGAATGAATCATTTTATTTTTGGACTGTTTTGACGTCCGACTACCCACACGTTAACATTGACGCTTGATAAGATGAGCCGCTGAGTCAGCAATTGAATAAGAGACATGACGTCTGCCCTACTCTAGAAAAAACTGAAATGACGCCATTGGTTCTATCGTTATTTAGTGAGCAGGAGTTTTCATTTTCATAGGACAACGATTAAAACTGACAAAATATTTGGTTTGAAAATCGTTGATTTATATTTTATAACTATAATATTATTTTTTTAATTATTAGATTACATTATTATGTGTCGTCTTAACTTTATTCATTTATGAGCTAATTGCATTTGATTTTAATATGTCATTACGTCAATTGGGCTTTTCGATTTAAACCGAGCTATTCAGAAATTAAATTTAATTTTTACGTACACCATATTGAAATCATTTCCGCGATAATTTAATCGAGTTGAACAGACATTGACTCATCCTTTGGATACTTTTCGCGTAGTACCGTCTCGTGTTGGATTCCACATTGGTTCAAAGTGTAATTTTAGAGCGACGGAATCAAGAACCGAACGCAACTAATAGTTCAGTATCTATTCATTATGCAGATATGAACTTGATATTCATAATGTTTTACTCTGGAATTTCCATGATCTATAACGTCATTGTGTAGTGCATAATTATGTTTTTTTTTTCATGGCCTACATACTTTTATTATTCATCTACACTTGTCCACATGTTTTATGGACTCGTTGAGTAATAGGTAGCGTGATAATTATTCTACAGTACCCTGTCATATTTGAGTCCGAATTCTTCGAGTGTTCAGAATATGCAATACACCGGGTTAACGTAATAGAAAAGTATTTAAATATGTTGCGATTTATTTGTTTATTATTTAACTATACGAATTATTATGGCCTACACAATATTGTGTAAGCTGTACGTTATAAAACTCCAATCAAGATATACATTTCCGATCAAGGTCTGAGCACAAATTTTACCGTTGAATATTCTCCACTAGCGATGATATAGATAATTTTTTCGAGTAAACAGACTTGACGAAACATAGACAAGTTATACTAAACGGGAAATCGTGCAATCATTATTATTATATATGTAATTCGGAATGGAGGCAACCGAAGAGTCTAATCCGGTACGGACCGTTGGTCGATCCTCACTGTAACTGTCAGAATTGATTATAAATACTAGTATTTATAACCAATGCTGTTAAGTACATTCGTCGGCTTCAGTTTAGTTCCATGTTCCCGCTAGTTGTTTGATTTTGGCTCCAAAAAAAGCATAAAAACTGCCGATCTTAATAGTTATCAAAAATACCACAGTCCGCCTTGAAACAATAATATTACTTAAAAAGGTATAAGACAATTATTTTCCCATTATCTTTTTATCGTTAGGATTTTACGTACCTATGTGTACATTTTATTATTTCCTTTTTTGACCATGTCCCTTTCCACATTTATTGAAAAATATCCGAGAATCCTTGGCAATCGTCGGGTAGCCGGGTGGGCTCGATCGACACTGGTAAGAAGACGGACGATATGCTCAATGACAGTCCGAGATACTTTTGATAAACAAAATGAAGCGGTGAATTATAAATTAAACGAGTTTTAAATCAACGGGACAGTGCGTGTAAACGGTGTGCGAACGAACGGCAGTCGTAACATATTAGCTCTCTTATTATAGCTGCCTCAAAGGAAATCGGCTGGCAAATGCCGGAAACCGAAACGAAGGATGCAGAGGACACGACCAATCGGAACTACTCGCGTTCCACTCGATCGGTCTCGTTCGACCGTATTACGGAAACGCACGTTGAAGTGAGAGGCGATAAAACTTTGTACTATGTTAACCGCGAGTGCGCCGAGAGAAAGCGTTGGCTGATAGAATCTTGAAGAAGCGCCATTTTAGTTGTACACGGAGAGCGATCCCTTTTAAGTATATTATTCCTATATATGCCCCGCTATATTCAATACGAAAACAAAATCGTATAAGATGAACTTGCATGTTAACTATATTCTATAATATTGTGTTAGTGTGTATAATATTAAAATGTTTATATTTTTAAAAATTTTTTTCCAAAGTTATAAAAATTCAAATCCGTTTTAATTTTTCATGATTTTTAACGTTCGCACGCATGTCTATAAAAATATCGACTTATTTGTCTGTAAATACGTATCTACCTATTTTTCCCACACTTTCCTAACACTACGAGTGGTCAAATTGAAATTAAATTATATTTTAACAATAATGTTTATGTTAAATGTGCAAAGTCTTAGTTTAAAAAAGTTAAAATTTAATACGGTGGGTTTCGCTTAATGTGAGCACCGGTTAACATGGACATCCGCGTAATATGGGCAAAATAAATAAAATGGTCTGGTCCCTAATCCAATGTATACCATCAAGGTTGAAAAATTCCGCATAATATGGACACTCGGTTGGGCGGGTTACGTGGGCAATATGTATTTAATCATGAACACATATGTGTTTAAAAATGACTTGTATAATCGAGTATTGTTGTGCGTATGAGATTGTGTCGATCAAAAGTAATAAAATGCATAAACATTTAAACCTTAATGTGATTTTGTTGACTAGATAAAAGATAATTGATATAAATAAAGCGATAGACGGCATAATTTCTATAACTCTATTCGTATAACAATCATTTCAGTTTTAACGTGACACTTTGCTTTAAAAATATCTTCCTAAAAGAAAAAAATCGTGATTTTAGACCAAGTGAAGTCGCTTCCTCCAAGCACTTCATAACCTTCAAATTTCAAATCAAAACGTTCTAATTCAAATCAATCAAACTGGCAATCACAAACGTATTCACACTAAACAGCTTAGACAACGAACAATTATGTTTTGTACACCTTTAACATCCAAATAGTAATTTTATTTAGTGTTATTTACGTATTAATTTAAATTTTTTAATTTTTAATTTTTTAATCAGGTATACATAATCTACACAATGTAGCACAATAAGCGTGTACAATATTATTAAATAATAATATGATTTTTTTATAAGAAATCACCTACTGGCGACACTTGACAGTGTAGTAAGAATGATTAAAAACATTGATTCTTTATGTAACAAATTGTTTTCATTCGTAACCGACGATTACGATTTTATTAATCTTAGAAGAATTCCGCGAATTCGTTTGGATGTCTTTTGCAAAACTGTAAGTAGATGTTTTACGTTAAAAACGAACGAAACACCGTCGTGACACAACGTGTCCTGCT